AATTTCTACTAAATTTTCTTCCATTTATTGTGTCCAAATAGACCGAGAAGAAGCTTTTTTTTCCTGAAACAATGCCACATCATGTTGATATGTGATCTATAACTCCTCCCCGAACTCTCCGCTGCTCTGTATCTTGCTCTCTCACTGGCTGACGGTGATCGCCGATGTAGTTTTCAGTCAAAACACTTTTAACACAGCAGGATTTTGAATCGCCGACAGGTCCAGATATTTAGCATGCCAAATATCTCACGGGCGTCGGCGACTCGTCTGTGATTCTCTCAGTACGCGTCTTTGCTCATTGACACTGCGTGATTGTCACTCGCGTGAACGAGCGCCAATTTTCCCGTGATTTTTGTCGCCGATTTCTCAAAACTTGCCGGTGAGCCAAAATTGTGGCTAAAATCATGCAGTCTGAACTCGGCATAAGAGACCGTCTCCCCACTCATTCATTCATGCATGCTCTGTGTGGAATTGTTGCGTGGTTGAACATGTACAGTAAGTTCCTCTCTTCTGGTTTGTTTAGTTAAAGTGATTGTGTTGATATCAAGGGGCAACCTCCCCGTCTCTCTCTTGAAGCCAACATGGAAGTGAATTAAAGTGCAATTCATTGAGTGGCCGCATGAGGCTGGCTGCAAGTGTTGGTGAATGGTCCCAGTGTTGGTGAATGGTCACATGATCCACGTTTTGATAAATTCTAATACGCAGGTAAAACGCTAGTGTGGACGGAGATCGTTTTCGTTTTAATTCTCCGTTTTTAAACGAAAATGCAGTAGTGTGGACGGGGCCTATATCGCTAATTTTGCCCTTCATGACGACTGTGACGGGGGTGATTTTTTTTACAACTCGTCTGTTAAAAGTATATTTAAGCCTTAAAGTTATGCATAATTAAGGGCGTGGCCACTTGAGTGACAGACCTCTGCTTTTACTGCTAGTCGTTTGTGTGCTGACTGTTAGCGTCACCCTCAACTGTGTTTGTGCTTTTTCCAGGATTATTTCATACCGTTTAATACATGTATTATACCTTCGCCCGTGCACGCCGTTGGATTCCGTCGTGTTGAGTATGGAGAGCTCTGTGTTTCCAGCTGTTTCCCTCACATGCACTAATGGATGTCTGATGATTTCAGCGCGTTCTCTCCGTCCATGCAATAGATGCACACCCTTGAATGAGCGCGGATTTCCTAGTTCATATACTTGAACTTCTGAGGTAATATCTTTGGTTTGACCCATCTGAGAAACGTGAGAGCCGGCCAAAATCAGATTGTAATGGACTGAATTAAAGCAGAATAATAATGCATCACGATGCACATAGTTGACTGCTTGTATGTTGTTAGAAATGTGTGTGATCTGTGTTATGTACTTGTATACATGCTCTTAACTAATTGCCCCTTGTGAGATTATTAAAGTTGATAAAAAAGTAAATAGTCTCACTTTTAGTTACGTCTTAACTATTATAATATTTCGAAGGGCAAAAACATGAACTTTAACCATTGGCTTTACTTTTTCAATTCAGCGCGAGGGCAGTAGCATATTGCATTAGTACCTCAGCTCCACCCGCGTACCGCCTCTTTGCCCATTTTCATTTATCCGGTGACGAGAGGTGACGCACTGCCAAGATGGCAATGGCCGGCCCCGCCCACTTTAGGCTTCAAAAACGCTCTTCAGAAACCTATGGGTGACGTCACGGATACTACGTCCATATTTTTTACAGTCTATAGTTGATATGTTTCATTGAATTCTGGTTATGTATATTTTCTCTTTGGTGTTATACATTTTGATTTGTTACTCTGTTGATTTCAGATGTATGATTTGATTTGCAAACGTGTGTAATCTATTAATAGTTTCTATGTTGTTTATGGGTTTAGGCAGGGATTTGCCGGGGGGGATGCGTGGGATTTCCCCCTTTCTGGTCAATGTATCCCTGCCTCTGCTTAATTATTTTTATCCCTGGTGGGGATAAATTTATCCCCCCCTCAAAGTGATCAGTGATCCTACACTAGTGGTGAGACGGATCAGAAAACTTATCATGGATCCGTGCTTTGATTAAAGTTAATTTTATTTTTAAATCCGCTACTTTGGCTGACTCTCATATAGCTGCCGCTCTGCACGAGTCTGCAGACTTGCTCAATTTCCCGCCCACGGCGCTATCTGATTGGTTACACCACATGGATAATAGCCTATCAACACTTGCGAGACGGTTGCCACGCTGGGCTGTGGAGCTGCTTGTAGAAAGGAGGGCAAGCAAGCTATTCAGAATAAACATCACAATCTGATTTTCTGTTTCTATGACGACAAGCAGAGCTAGTGTCCCAGTACCTGAGAATGGCCGAAGTTATACACACAGTGTTTCACTCAACTGAGACTAAAGCAAAGATTTTTTGATTAGTCGCTCACTCTTGAACATCTGGTGCGAGTGATTTCATTTCATTTATTCGGTTTGGTCATTTACAGATCATGTCCATGACCAGGTGCAGGCCTGCCCTTAACTTTAGCATCAAATGTAACTCATTAATGACAACATCTGTTCATAACATTAACACATAAGTGGACCATTGTCCACACCAGAAGCAAGCCTGTCTAATTCATTTTTATTCTATTGTATATTTTTCCAATGTTATTCTCTTGTAATATTTTTTAAACTGAAAAATAGACGTGGCTTGTTTTAACTCATTACAACAACTATTCCACAATTTAACTCCTTTATTTGATAAACAGTGTTCTCTTAATGTAGAATGTACTTGTGGTTGGTTAAATATACATAATCCTCTAAGATCATATTTACTTTCTCGCTGGGAAAATAATAATTGCAAACATTTAGGAGTTTTATTACATTTGACTTGGTAAATAATTGTAACGTGTACAAATCAACTAAATCATAAAACTTCAAAATTTTTGATTGATGAAACAGTAAATTGCTTGGTGAATTGTAAGGTGCATAGTTAATTAATCTGATAACCTTCTTTTGTAATAAAAAAATTGGATTGGTTCTAGTTTTGTTTGTGTTTCCCCAAATTTGACAAGTGAACTATAAAGTAAATGTAATGCATTTTTACTCAAAATATACTGCAACTTGTACAAAACTGCAATCGTTTTTGATACTTTCTTCTGAACGTTAAAAATATGCGGTTTCCATGTCATTTTACAATCAATAATTACTCCAAGAAATTTTATATGATTTACTCTTTCTAATATATTTTCATTAATAGTAATCCTGATCTCATTATTTAACTCTTTATTACTAAATATCATGAATTTCGTTTCATTTAAATTTAGTGACAATTTATTCAAATCAAACCAATTCTTTAGTTTATACAATTCTTTCTCTACCACCAACACAAGCTCTGTAAGATTTGGGCCAGAACAATAAATTGTTGTATCATCCACGAAAAGAATAACTTAGGGCCCAAAACAGAGCCTTGCGGAAAGCCACAATTAATTCTCTGAAAGCAGGACGCAACTCCATTTACATCAACATACTGAAAACGGTCTGTTAAATAATTTTCTTACCAAGAATATACAATTCCCCTAAATCCATATTTTTCCAGTTTATATAATAATATTCTGTGATCGATGGTGTCAAAACCTTTCTGTAAATCCAAAAAAAACTCCAATTGTGTGTAATTTTTTATCTACTGAATATTTAAAGACGCGTTTACGCGCGTCTAGAGGTTCTGCGGCGCGAATGAGGCGAATTGACAAACATAGATAATGCATCTGTCTTTTCTATCATTTCACTAGCTCAGCATCGCGATGTAACGTTAACATTAGGCTATAAGTTTAACTTTAACCTATTAATCTATTGATTTAATTATTGCATGTTTTTTTTGTTGTGCATGATTACAGTTCATATATGTGTGGGCAGCTATTAGAGTAAAAATATTGTGTTAGGATACTTAATAAGAATTTTTTTCCTGCAAATGCAGTGATGAAGTTCATGTTCTCATGATTTATTTTTATGACTTTTTTTTTTCTTTTAGTCAAACGGACAGATAAGCATTATTTGTTGTGCAACCATATGATTTGAAAATAATTGTTTTTGAGTGGAAATTCTTCAAACCGGAAATGCCTGGAAATGGAAAAAAAGGCGGATATTCAGGATTTGTTTTTTGTTTTTCTGCTTTTTTTTTTTTTTTGATCAGTTGATTATTTTTAGTGTTGTCAATGTATTTGGTATGAGTTGCAAATATACAGTATATAATTATTATTGTTTTAGTAGTTAGTTATGTAAGCCTTTTTTTGTTTGGGTTCGTGACATCATTTGTTTTCACTGGGATTCCCTTACGCTTCTAAAACAAGATGTATTAGCAAGTTTGGCAGTCATGGAAAACTTCAGAGTGGTGTTACATAAGAGTGCTTCCAGATGGGAAGTTTTGAATTGGTCATTTGAAGCATCATAAACATAAAAATGAAATACTTGACAGAACATTTATAGTGCAAATTTCCTGGTTAATTGCTCTTCTGCTTGGAGATACTACTGTTTTTTTACAGTTATAAATGATATTACAGTTATATTGTTTGGTGTCAGCTGAATTTGCTCTGTGTTTGTAGAAGGACCTTTCCTCCCTGTAAACTTGAGATTATACTAATGCCAAAATGTCTCTGAATGGGTCTATTCCAGGCATATTTAAATAGTGTTCCCTGGCTGTGTTCCAACTGGACTGCGATACATACTGACATCTCTAGCACTATTTTACAGTTTATACAGTTTAAAGTGAGCAGCACGTCAAAACAACGGAGCTGTACTCACTGAGCTCATTATTGATAACTATTTTGACTCTTTGGATTTATTTTTATTTTACAAAGCACTACTGTTGGCTAGGTGGAGATTATAACTATTACAAAAAAAGTATTTGTCTGGACCTCAGCTGAGAAGGAAATATAGAGACTGTGTTATTTACAGCCAACCTAAAACTTGTATCCATTATCATATGTATATTATTAGTGTATTATTAGAGTAGATTTAGTGTATTTCTGGACTAAAACATTTTTTTTTCTTTTAATAGCATCAATAATAAGCTCCAGCAGCCAGAGGCCGCATCAGGAGTGCTGGAGTATGCCATGAAACACTTTGGAGAACTGGTAAGAGCTTTAAACCCTTATTCATCTGTTTATTATTTATGCATTGATTACATAAGATGAGCACTGGGATGAATTTCACAAAGCCTGTCAAGAAAGGTTTTGGTCTTTTTGCACCTCAAAATTTATGTAACCTTTTTTTTCAAGCAATATAGATTTTTTAATGTTGAAGTTTTGAGACATCATATGATGCAGTACTTTGAAGCCTGTTTTCAAAGTGTCTTCTTCTGTCCATAAAAAAAGGACATGACTTGGAAGATATGTTGCTACGTTTATACATCTATTGCGTAACTCCACAGACTTCTTTAACACTTGACTGTGATTCTTTAACACTTAATAGTTTGAGACTTCTTTGATTTTTTTTTTCAGGTAGTTTTATTTGTCAAGATATAAATTTAAGCATTTCAAAAAAGAAAAAAAAAATCAATTGTTGAATTGCTGCTTGTTGAAGAATTCTGGCTTATTGGTGTAGATTTGCTTTGTATATTTTTTTTCTGTTGTAGCCTTTCAAATCTTATTATTCCCAAATGACATACAGATACTTTAAGTGTCTTAAGCTATATGAAAAATTGTATAACATGAAATATTGGAACATTAATTGGAGCTATCTATACTGTCTACATTTCCCATGGGTGTGATTGTGTGAAGTTGAAAATCCTGAGTTTTCAATAATAAGATGAGCTTAATTAATTTGGCTTACTTAAAGTTTTACACAATTGCTAAGACACATTTCTTGAAACCTTTACTCATTTTCTCACAACAAAAAACACAAACAAATCTTCAAACTACATTCACAAAACCACTGACTCTTCTGGCAAAATCAAAACAATTGTCTCAAAACCATTTCGACTATACTCAAAATCTAAGATCATGTTTTTAGATCATGCACACCTCAGCCAAACGCTACAGATCATTCATTAGACACTAAATAAATAAATACAAACACAGCATCCAGAGCATGCAATTAAATAAAAAAAAGTGTATTGTTAACAAAGTTTGCAATTGCATTTAAAAAAATTATAATTATCGCAGCTTAGTAAAGTAAATATATTGCATACTGTATGCACTGCAGATATAGTATTGTATTGAATATTGTATAGTATTGAATGTCTGTATATTCAGTACTTGCATACTGTAAAAGTACAGTGGGCCAAATGTCGAGCCCAAAAGGTCAAAGAGTAAATAAAGCTGCTAATTTAAAGTCAATGAGGGATTCATTCTGCATCAGCATCACGTGTTGGGTCCAGCCTGAGGACTTTGTCCACATCACAGATAATTATCTTGCCAGGCAAAGGAAAAAACCCTCTGGTGTGCCAGATCCAGCCTTGACAACACTGTCCACACCTTGCCCTTTCTCATCCTGATCCTCTTCATCCACCCCTATTTGCACATATTCTTCTGCTCTCCTTCTCAGATTGTTTCCATCTATTGTCCATATCAATATAAAGTGCACTTGTGCTACCTGTAAGATGGCTTATATTTTGTACAGTTTGTTTGATCACTTCATTAGAAACAAGTGTGAACAATTTTGAGCTGTTGTTTGCAAATGATGACAACTGTGTTGCAGTTGTGTAACTTTTCCAACAAGTGCATCACAGTGCAAAATGTGTTGTGAGCAAGAATGTGTTTTGCAAAAACAGTGCATGAAATTTGCAAATGGTTTCTAACTGCCTGGACTTGTTTAAGGTTTTGCAGAAAGAGTGATTTATTCAACAAATGAGCTTAGGCCTTTGAGAATTTGGTTCAGAGAATGAGGTTTTTGTGAAAAACTGATATGAATGATATGATTTGTGCTATGATGAGATTTTGGTTCATTTAAATTTTTTCCATCGTTCATCCTTTTATGTTTTGTCTTTCTCTACAGGAGATTCAGGCCACGTGGTACGAGAAACTTCATGAGTGGGAAGATGCTCTGGTCGCCTATGATAAAAAAATTGACATGAACAAAGATGATCCGGAGCTAATTCTGGGTCGCATGAGATGTCTGGAAGCGCTAGGCGAATGGTATGCACACATTACATAACTTGTCAGTTTCTAGAAGTGAGCAGGCTCATTCTTGCTTTTTTACAACTTTGGTTCTTTTTTGGAATTTGCATTTGCCAGTTCATGCATGTCATTTGTACATTTTGTTGCAGGATACATTTACTGAATACCCCCCTTTTTTCAGACAGTTCTATGTAGTCATAGTCTTATTGAAGGTAAATGTTTATTTTTTGTCACTTGATAGGATGGACAGGTCTTTCTAAGCAGGCCGTTTGTAGTGCTGTCAGATGTTACCCAGATGTTATTAGTTTTTGATTCATTTGTGAAATGATTTTACATTTGTGGCAAACGTAATTATTATATAACATGCTAACCACAAGCTGTGCAATGTTCAAAGGAAAATTGACTACAATTCTGACTTATGAAGCAATGCAAATGCATAAGTGGCGTTCTTACAGGTTTCTTAAGAGTGGATGGAAATGATTGGATAAAAGAACAGAAAGATGAGGACAATTCTGGTTACTGAATGCATTACATGTATACAGCGATTTAATAGTACACCACTAACATAGTGCATTTACTGTAAACATGAATGTAATTTTAAGTCTTACTATAAACAGCTTTCTTTGCTTTCTAATGTGTGCATATAAAAGTACTTCCAGTATTCACTCTAGTTCCTGATATATTCAAAATTACACTATGGAAAGCAATTTCCAATGTGAAATATAATTCTTCTTAATACAAGGTGACACGATGAAGTGAGAATATGATTGAGTGAGTAAAAGCAGAGATTGAGCATGTGTTCTTACTGCGTCTCTTTTTGCCCTCATGGAAACACAGTGCTGTCATTTTATTATTTTTCTCGACTTTTGAAAGAAAAACATCTTACTGACAGTCATTTACTGGGAGCAGTTTGTTTGGGATAGTTCCTGGCAAGGGGGCTGACTTCTTGGATTTGTTGCAGTCAGTGAATCCGGTAATAGGACAGGAATAGATTGCAATAGGGGAAACAGGGAATAATAGGAAATCAGTAGCAATAGTTAGCTTTAAAAGACTTGCCTTTAAAAGAATCATTCTTTTGTTGGGAAATATTGGTGGGGCAAGTCTCTTGTGCATTTCACTTGATAAACATTTTGCCTATGTAGAACAATCCAAAATACTCTCTTATAAATGGGCATTTTAATTATGATGCTGTCTTTAACCGCATCGCAACAGCTGATGCTGGATGCAACAAAGTGGCTGTTGCAAATTCAGTTGTCATTTCTCTCAGAAGTGTAGCACAGGTGCACTGATGGGCAGTAACGCGTTAGAAGTAACGCGTTACTGTAATCCAATTACTTTTTTCTAGTAACGAGTAAAGTAAGGGATTACAATTGAAAAAACAGTAATTAGATTACCGTTACTTCCCCGTAAACAGCCTGCGTTACTGCGTTACTGCGTGAATAACAATGATGTATGAGCGCCACGACATCATCAGAGACGACCAGAGCGCGGGAGAGAGCAGCCGAGGTGCCAACTCTCACACACGCTTACACGACACACCCCTGATTTCTCGCGCTGAAGTGTCAATCCCGTCGGTCAAATGCCTGAAAGATGAGTTAATCTATATATCTAACCGTTGAGCCACATTTGTGTTTGACTAGTTATAGCGCAAATTAGTTAAAATCTCCCGGAATCTAGAGCGAGCGCACATGCGAGACTGTGTTCCAAAGTCCAAACTTCGTATCGCGCGCACGACGAGGAGAGCAAGAGAGACTTGCGTGCTATGCAGAGAGCATCCTGATCTAGAAACTGGACCTTTGGAGAATGTCAAAATTCTACCTCAAATCTGAGCAAGCATGTCACGAGACAGTCTCACACGGTTAACTAAAGCAGCAAGCCGGTGTTCAGGAATGTGAAACTTACTGAAAAAAAACCCTGAACCCCCGTCTGACATGACTGCTGCGGCTACATGCTGATGGTACATAACCACGGTTTAACTCCGAAAAAAAAAAAAAAAAAAAAAAAACTTGAAGCCAAAATACGGCATGCAACAGCATTTTCTGTTTTCAACTAATTTTTACTCCTCTCTGCACTTTACTGTTAAAATACGTAAGTGTTAATACTTTGTAATATAGTCAGGAGCTGTCACAGTCTGCGTCTGCACTGTTCTGTCTGCGTCTCCAGCACTACACTTCCCAAGATCCTCTTGTCACCCACACCTGAACTCACTCGCTCATCAGCCTCCTGTTCATCGTCTCGTTCATCAGTATCACCCGTTTTCACCCCATTATGTTTGATTCCTCCTTGTATTTAGTTCCCTGTTTTAGTCAGTCTTTGTCGGTCGATGTTGCATGTTACCTTGTGTTGCTCCTACCTGTATTCTTGTGATTTATATATATTGATAGTAAAAGTGCTCTTCGTTGTAATCTGGACTCTGTCTGCTCTTCTGCCTGCACCACACCGTGACAGATCGACCGACCAAACAAAGGATGAGAATCTCCCTCGACCACTTGCCTCCAGTGTATCGTTTGACTCACTGCTTTCAAGATGGCTGCCCGATTGAGGACTATGTGGTCAGATTCCTTGAACTCTCTAATCTTGTAAACTGGACCGATGAGGTTTTAAAGACTGTTTTCTGGTGCGGATTGGATGAATCCCTATACCAGCAAGCGCCAGCTGCGGCAAGCCCAGGCCCATTTACCCTGTACCTGGACCATGTGCTGTGGTTGAATGGCTCAGCCTTCACCGTAGGTGAGGCTGATGACACCGCCACTCAACCACCATCTCCAGCCATGACCACCTGCCCTGTAACTTCCCTTGACCTGCCCAAGTCCGTCCAGCCAGAGTCCGTCCAGCCAGAGACCGTCCAGCCCGCGCCAGAGTCTGAAGTCCCACCCTGCCTCCCTCTCCCACCTCCGCTGTTGGTGTCTTCAGGTTTTCCTGTTTTGCCTCTACTGAGCCCTGTCGACCCTGCTGCCCATCCACAGCTACCCGCCAGTATTGCTGTGGAACCACCTACGGGCCTCCAGGCCTCAGCATCGCCCTGGTCAGGGGATCCCCTATCCTCGCCTCAATCCCCTGAACCTCTGACTCCACCTTGGCCCTCCGACCCTACAGCTTCTCTTCGACTCATTGTGCCCTCATCTCCGCCGGGTCTCGTCAGCCCTATATCTCCACCAGGCTCCCTCCTCCTTCCTTCCTCGCATTGGTCAGCCGTCACCCAGGTTCCACCTCGGGACTCCGTGCTACCGGCTGCGCCTCTGCCCTGCGTCCCTTCTGCTCCACCGGGCTCCATCTTCCCTCCTGCTCCTCAGTTGTCCTCCCTCACACTGGTTACGCCACGGGCTTCCAGAGCCCCTTCTCCGCCTCGGTCCCATGAGCCTGCAGATCCGCCTTGGCCCTCCACACCTGTGGTGTCGCCTCGGCTCTGGGTCCCTCCGGCTCAGTTGGGGATCCCTGGAACTCCTTCGTGCACTTCGCCGCCGTGGCCGCCTGAAGGGTCTTCATCGCCGTGGCCGCTTGAAGGGTCCGCTCAGCCATGGCCACGCCCTCAGCCTGCTCCGCCCTGGCCAAGCCTTCAGCCTGCTCCACCACGCCCTCAGCCTGCCCCGCCCTGGCCACACCCTCGACCCACTCAGCCATGGTCATGCCCTCAGCCTGCTCCGCCCTGGCCACGCCTTCAGCCTGCTCCGCCACGCCCTCAGCCTGCCCCGCCCTGGCCACACCCTCGACCCACTCAGCCTTGGCCACGCCCTCAGCCTGCTCCACCAAGCCCTCAGCCTGCTCCGCCCTGGCCACGCCCTCGACCTGCTCCGCCCTCAGATCGTCCCCCCTCCCTCCTCTGCTCTACGGCGTGAGGCCACGCCTTCCGGGAGGGGGGAGTTCTGTCACAGTCTGCGTCTGCACTGTTCTGTCTGCGTCTCCAGCACTACACTTCCCAAGATCCTCTTGTCACCCACACCTGAACTCACTCGCTCATCAGCCTCCTGTTCATCGTCTCGTTCATCAGTATCACCCGTTTTCACCCCATTATGTTTGATTCCTCCTTGTATTTAGTTCCCTGTTTTAGTCAGTCTTTGTCGGTCGATGTTGCATGTTACCTTGTGTTGCTCCTACCTGTATTCTTGTGATTTATATATATTGATAGTAAAAGTGCTCTTCGTTGTAATCTGGACTCTGTCTGCTCTTCTGCCTGCACCACACCGTGACAGGAGCGACTTTCATGATTTTATTGCTGTATTTTTACATCTATTCAAATGAAGGATTTTACAAAATATATTTATTTTATATGCTGGAATATGTAGAAATGTATATTAACAGAAGAAGGGCTGTCTTTATTTCATTAAAATGGTGGAATGTCCAGAAAATAGGTTTAAAAATGTTCAACAATTTTCTTCTAGTCTGAGACTGTTGCATTTAATTAAATTTTTGCTTGATGCAATGTGCATAAAGTTAAAATATTGAAACAAAACAAGTTTAAAAAAAGAGAATGTTTAATTTGATTACATTTTAGATGATGGAATATGCAGAAAGAATAGAATTAGGCTGAAAGGTCTATGCTTTAGCGTATTCAGGTCGTGCATCATGTTTTTGAAAAGTAACTTAGTAAAGTAACTAGTAAAGTAACTAATTACTTTTGAAAATAAGTAATCAGTAAAGTAATTGGATTACTTTCTTGGAGAAGTAATCAGTAATCAGTAACTAATTACTATTTCCAAGTAACTTGACCAACACTGCACAGGTGCTTGGAGTTATGTCAGAAATAGAACAGAGCATTAGGTTACTATCGTGATTTACCGCGTTGCATTGGTTTGAATAATAGTTTTGAAATAACATGAGGTTAAGTAAATGATGACAGACTTTTTAAGTAAATGGTGACAGAGTGTATGTGTGAGTCGGCACAGACCAAAAAATGTATTGAACCCATTTGAATTCTACACAGAATGCTATATTTGATAGTGATATGGAGGAGATTAGAAGAAACGGTTAGAGATTAGAGGTTAGAGAGGCGTTAGCGAGCTCAACAGCTTTGGCTGAGC